CAGAGAGGGTCGTTTAGAGGGAAAAATCCAACTAAAGAGAACTAAAAAGGCTTAGCTAAAGCCTAAATTTCCTGGTCCGATATCCAGAGGGAATGTAATCCATGGAAGGAGGAAGCCCTAAGTTCAGGAAAATCATTGATAGAAGATGAACCAGCAAGAACGTCTAGAAAAGAACGAGAAGAAGAACCCCCTAAAAAATCAGGGTTATAAAGTTTCGACGCCATCCGATACACGAAGCGAAAAAAGCAAAACCAACAAACCAAAAACCAAATTATAAAGGAAATAAAACTTCCCTGAAAAAAGCAAGGTAGCCCGTCGCCACCGAGACGAGCCCAACAGTGCAAAAAGCACCGGAGGGAGCTAGAGAAAAGCCCTAGCGGAGTGAGAGAGAGCGTGCTGATTTTTTTTTTTACTTGAAGAGATGGAGAGAGAGAGAGAGAGAAAGAGAGAGAGAGAGTCAGCATATTTAAGTTTTTTTAATTAAGAAAAAGTTTTGTCGTATTGCCAGAATAATTAATTTTGATAGTAAAAGAAATCTTAATGAAAACTACAAATTAAACTGTCAATTATTTTGGTCGAGCGCATATAAATTTCATGCACCTTGGTCATATTTTTCTTAGTGGATATTTGATTTTTTTTTTAATTATAATATAAATAGCAAGTCCTTTTATTTTGATGATTAACAAAGGCCAGCTGCCTCGATGTTTATCACTTTTTTTTTTGGGACATAATGTTTATCACTTCACTTCTTCTGCGCTTAGCTATTAGAACAAAATTAATATATTTTTATTGTGATTTTACCTTCTTGACCTAACTTCCCAATGTGCTGGACTAAAAGCTAAATAAAGGAAGCAGACAAAGGGAAAAAGGTATGGTGAGGATTACAGGGGTTAAGAATAGGGTGTCCCGGATGGTTACTTTCGGAAGCACGTCTTTTTTGGTCCCTTCTTCACCTAATTTATCAACCCATCTTAATTTATTGATCTAAAAGTTTGACTATCAATTAAGATATTTTGGATTCGAAAATTTTGTATATGATGTATATGTGAATTTAGCTTAACTGGCTCAACTGTTCAAAAAAAAAAAAAAAAC